TTTGTAAGGGGTATACAACTTGTGTAACTTGTCCTATAAAGGTTGAATCTTCTGGCCTGTCTTTGTTTGGAGGAGTTAATAGCAGTTAACATATCTGTCAGGTCTCCAGTGTTGCTCCTTTTCAGACTTTAAATGCAGTTTGCTTGTTTACTTGAGAAGCTGATCCCAGCTAAGCAGGTATGGCTCCAGCAGGATGTCCTCGCCATCTTCAGCCAAGCTGGATCTGAGATAAAGCAGCAGCTTCCTGGCCTGAAACGTCTGTCCAGGACATTCCTTTATGAAGACCGCTTCTTCTTCTTCTTCTTCTGTCTGCAGCCATTCCGCCAGGACGGGAGGATCCAGAGGCTGAAAACCATTCAGTAATTCAGAACATTTGCTTTTATTCTGAAAATTGTTTTATTATATTTCTATTGTATATATTTTTTTTCTTTTTATGTTTATGTTATTCTGATTTTGAGCAGTGAGTCAAAACATAAGTGATACATTTGTCCTATTTGAAATTTCCTCCGTTTTCACTTAAATGCTGCAAACAGTCTCTATAATCAGGACACTCTGAGTAGAGTGATTATTATTGATTATATTTATTAAGGGAATATCTATCTAAACTAACCTGTGTTGTGAAAATTGAAGGAGTTTCAGTAAAAATACTTTTATATAGTTCTATATGTGTCCCTAGATGGGAGCACATAGTTAGTGACGGTCATACCGTTTGGCGGAAATTATTCAAACATGGCTGCCACAGTGAGCCGCAGTTTCCTTGTTCGCCCTGAGCTGAAGACAAACAGAGAAATTAAAAGGTTATAGCAACAACTGTGTCATTAAAAAAAATATAATATATATACAGAGAGTTTGGAGTGGTGCAGGATAAAAGTATTAATTTCTCTGGAAAAAAACTACATAAATTGTCTTTTTCTTAATTTTTGACGTATTCATAATAGACATAAACTTGTGGTTATGATGCAAATTCAACATGAAAGCATTCTGCACCAGTAGGATTAGAAGGTTGAAGTCACATGAGGCAGAGCTGAGGCATTGGCAGACTCTAGTAGCTCTGAGAAATAGCTGCTTCTTCTAAGGGTTTCGATTCTCAGATTTACGCTAAATAACAAAAAGGCAAACGCTGGTGAACATCAGTGAAGCTTCAGATTATTGGTCCTGAATGGAGGAAGCAAAGGGTCTCTGGAGCCCACTGATCTCTATCTATTCACTGGGTTGCTGATTACCTGTTGGTATAACGGGGTGGAAGTGAAGCAAGCAGGTCTTTATTACTGCTCTTCAAAAAAAGCATGTTTATTTTTGAGAATAAAAAAAAAACAAGTTGAAGATGTTTGAACTGAATCAGCTTGGGTTGTGTTTTATCACCCAATTTTATATATTCAGAAACTGGAGGGTATTAGCTTTCAAATAATGTATTGCACATGTAATTTGGGCTTATAGTTCCTAAGTTATTTGCTTTTCCATTTGGGTATACAAAATATGCGAGGATTACTTCAAAGTGAGGTGGATGTGCACCTGAAAAGCCATCTAGAAATAAGTAAAAAATTTATTAAATTAAATGTATTTACCCTGAATTTGAGTAAGTAAATGAGATAGTTTGCTAATGGAATGAGTATTTTTTTACTCTTGAAATAAGATAATTAGATAATATGCACTTGAATAAGACAATGCAATTGTGTTTTCTTATTTTAAGTGTAAATTGTCTTGTTCTGTTGGCAAAATGTCTCTTTTATCTCCTCAATCCAAGAACAAATGCACTTATTTTAATAAAAAAAATTACTTTTTCATGGCACAGCATTCTGCTCTGTTCTGATCTGGGCAGGGTTCGTTCCCCCCTCCTACTAACAACAATGGAAAGCAGTCAGAGTCATAACAAACTACACACACAGTAACATGTTATGAATAAACCTTGAGAAAGAATCTGGATTGTTATGGGAAGAAGCTATGTCTGGTCTACAAACACCATTCTGCAGGGAATGGTGTGGCCTTGAGAGAGAAACAGACTGAGTGAAAACTTTTATAGTGAGTAAATATGATAAATTAATATATAATAGAAGAAAGATAAAAATTTTCCGACAACATCTATATTTAGAATTTTTATTTTATTTTGTTTTTCATTGTGTGTGATACATGTACACTGCAACTTAACCCTATTTATCTTGATATACTGTATATATATTGCCTATTCTTAATGCACCTTTTTCCTCCTCGTTTGCACCTTCTTCTTTAATTACTATGCCAATATGTGACCAGTGAATTTCTCCGCTGTGAGATCAATAAAGCTCATCTAATTTAATCTAATCTGATTTATTCTAGTGAAAGAGGCTGTTTTTTAACGTTAGACACAATGTCAATGACTAACTCAGTCAATGTCTTTGAGTCAGTCCCAGATAGCTACACTAATGTTACCCTACATACAATACTATAGGATAAATCAGCGTATACACTGCAAAAAATGTAAAGTAAATTATTCTTAAAATAAGTGCATTTTTTCTTGAACTGAGGAGGTAAGTGAGACACTTTGCCAATAAAACAAGGCACTTTACATTTAAAATAAGATAAAACAATTGCATTGTCTTATTTCAAGTGAGTTTTAACTAATTATCTTATTTAAAATAAAAAAATACTTATTCCATTGGCAAATCCTCTTACCTACCTACTCAAATTAAGAGTAAATACACTTAATTTAAGAATTCTTTACCTATTTCTAGATTGTTTTTGCAGTGTAGATGGATTTTCTTGGATAGTTCATACACTGACAGTCAAATCGTCTGTGGAACGTCTTCTCACTGCCGACAAACTGCTTATTTTTGCAGCCAAATGCTACTACACATGTAGACATTTTTAGTGGGGAGTACCAATATGGCAGACGGTGGCTTCACTTTTTCGGGCAATCAGTAATCCATTGAATAACTAGAGATCAGTGCCAGAGGTATGCACAAGTTACTGCTTTTCTTCTGAGCTGTTAAGTTAAGGTTTGCAGCCCAACTACTGACCTAGAGGATTAATAGCTGCCTCCTTTAATGACTGGTTGTTGAGAAAATGGTTACGCTTCTGAGAAGTAGGTAAATATGGCGGACTTTATTTAAATAATCAGCAAAGCAACAATTTGCTAATAAACCTTTTGCTTTATCTCTAAAGGAAAGTTTTACTTCCTAGCAGTAATAAAAGAATTGGCGTTCAGAAAAAGCAAATAGAGACTTGCTAAAATAAATCCACTGAGGCCCAGATTCTCTAACAGATTTGCAGACGATGTTCAAACAGTTACCAGCTTGAATGAATGTAATCCCTGCAGGTGACCATGACCCGGTGTTTCTGCTGCGTCATCGATAACACTAATAACTAACCGTAGGTGGAGCCAGCATGGCAGAGCGCTCAGAGGAGCAGAGGAGAACTTACGCAGCCAAAAGGAGCTGATCAGGAGGAGCAGAGCCAGCGTGGTGGACAGCAGCAGGTAGCGAAGCAGCCGCCTCCGTCTGAGGAAAACCATCCCAGCATCTGCAGAGCAAACCGTCGTCCTCAGAGTCCTTCCGCTCCAGTATTAACCGCCGCTACATCACATGCTGCCTGGCTTCTGCAGGTACTAACTGCACAAACCCACACCTCTGCGTGACCTTTGCACTTGACCTTTGTTCTCCTCGCCCGGTTTATCTCCTGCAAACATCAGGCCCTCCTCTGCGGAATGAGGCAGAGCTTATTCCTGAATATCACAGACGAAAGAGAAGACTTAAGATTAGAAGAAGGTTTTAGAGGGATTCTGATCCTGATTTAGTTAAAACCTTTATTTATCAAATAATAATCACATAAGTTTGTTTATTATGTAAAAATTTGACTGTTAATCTCTGAATATCCCAAAGTTAGAGGCTTTTTGTCCGTTTTTTCTGAAAAATATCTTTAAAATATATTTTTTATTTGACCTTTTATGCCTAAAACATGGTTTGATGAGCAGACTGACACCTCAGTAGTTCAGCATTGATGCCTCTATAAGCCTGTAGGCCAGAGGCCATTCTAGGATCAGACGCTCAGGGTGCAGGCTGGATACATTTCAGTGTTTTCTACATACATTTTTAGCACATCTGATCAGAGACTTTTGTGTTTTTGTCTTATTGGACGAGCTGTACAGAAACTTACCTGGCTTTTCCTGACCTTACACCTTGCTCCTCTCCTTCACTCTTCCCTCTCCCTCTTTGGACTTGCAATCCTAAAATTTTTATTTAACGAGGTAAATAGATACAGTTGTGCTTGAAAGTACTTTTTATATTTATATTTTTTTTTATCCAAGTACTGTATGGTTTTCAGACTGTTCTATATTTAATATGATTTTGTTTTACTTTTTTATTTTAAAAACGGCAAACAACATATAAAAAAACCCAACCCATATTGTAGGAGGGCTATGATTCGATTTAAGGGTGCTTCAGCACCCCCAAAAATGGTCTACAAACAACTATTTTCACTGCTCAGTGGATGCGGCATCAAGAGCGTCCATGTTGAACAGGTCTGACCTAACAAACAATCAAAGCGCTACATTTAAGGTGGATTTCGTGACTAATGGCGTCACAGTTCCTTCCTTTCAGCAGCTACTAGACATTATAACCATCTCTGCTCTTAATAAACTCATTTAATGCCCAAATCTCTGCTATTTAGCACTTTTATATTCTTGCAAACAGCCTTTTGTTTTCTTATAAACAAATATATATAAATGTTATGTTCAATGAAGCGAGTCTTCCTTTGATTCCCCCTCCTAGTTTTAGTAGTAATTGTCATGTCCAAACAGAAGAAAGGTAGGAGAAAAGAGGAGTGAAGTTGCATTGGGGGTTGGGACCTGGGTGCGCATTCCTGTGATTAAACACCTGCACAGACCTGTGTGGCAGTTTAGGCAGACAAAGGAAGAGACCGGCTCCCAGACATGTTTCAGCTCATGGTCTAATCACCAGATACACAACTGGTAAGGAGGAAACTAGGTTAGGGATTAAGATTTGTTTATTAAAAGGTAGAAGTTGAGTTGGAGGATATTGTAGTATGGCTTGTGGCCTGGTAATGTTCAGTTTATATTGTGCTTGTGGGTAGGCCACAGTGGAAATATTTAAGTTAAAAATGTTTGTTTTGAACTAATTCAATTTCTGTTTGTCAATTAGATTAAACAATTTCCAACCTAAATCCCAATCCTGGATCCTCAAATAAAACACAACGGAAAAGGATTTAAGGTTGTGCCTAGCGTCCTTCTAGGTGATAACCAGCCGTTTTCCAAGTTTGAACAGGAGCTGAAGCTAAAAACCACAGATAATTTGACAGCAATATATGTATTCAAAAATTTTAGATTCAGTTTTACTGTACAATTTCATTTCTATTTTTTTTATTTTACAGCTTAATGCAATATTCAAATTTTTTATTCACTTTTTACCTTTGAGTTAATCTGCATGCTTCTATTTCTCTTTAACTTTGTACACATCCATTGAGGAGCAACAAGGAATATTTCTATCCTAGACGGGGCCGCCTGTGGAGCTGGTTGACTGGTTCCTTTTGTATCTCTGCTTCTGTCTCCTTGAACCCCAGTCGGCCTCAGCAGATGGCCGCTCACACTGAGCCTGGTTCTGCTGGAGGTTCCTTCCTGTTAAAAGGGAGTTTTTCCTCTCCACTGTCGCTACAAGCATGCTTAGTGTGAGGGATTGCTGAAGAGTCAATGAGACGATGCAATCAGCTGGTTTTCCTTGGATAGAAAACTTTTAATCAATCTGACTGGATGATCTGGTGAACTTTAAGTGCTTTGAGATGACATGTGTTGTGAATTGGAGCTATAGAAATAAACTGAAATGAATATAATTCTGTTCCAGTTCATGAAGTGGCTTTATGACTGAAGCTCCCCCTGGTGGACAAACTTAACAGAAAGCTTACAAAAGGAGACAGAATTTTCTCTTGAGAAAAAAGGTACTAATAAAATGTTGCATCACTTTCACAATGAAAACAAAAATGCAAAGAACAGAAACTAAATCTCTTGCTTCTGTGTGCATATATAGTGATAGCGCTGCAGTCAATGATGTCATAAATTGAGTGCTGTGGGTGAAGCTCAGTGTGTGATCAATGACAAGCTCTATGATGTCCCAGCAGAATTTTTCAATACAGGATGTTAGGATTTACTAAAACATTTTACAATCAGAATGCATTAACCATGTTTGATTGAACCATCGAGGTCTCTTCCTGGTTATGGCGCCCCCTAAATGTTCAGACTGGTAGGAACAGGAAAAGATGACACCAAAGTGATGAGAAAGGAATTTATTGAAGGTAAACTCTTACATATAATCATATTTAAAATAGTCAAAGTATTTTCCATCGACACCCCCGCCGCGCTGATTGATTCATGCATCCTTTGTTTTAGTGCATAATTCCACACTCCTCACCTTCTTGTGCAAAAGGTATTTGTGCTTTTTGTGTGTTTCTGTGCTTCTTAACTGAGGTAATATTAATTTTTTTTTTTATCTAAATCTAAAGAATAAAACTAAAGGTTTTTCTCTAACAGGATTATGGCTTTTAGGCAGAACGTGACTTTAAGGTAAAAGTATATAAGGATTGTTAAAGGAGAAGTTTGTGCTTATTTTATAAAAATAGAGTAAAAACATAAACGGGTGCATAAATATTAAGTGCTGTTAAGTTGGAAAGTTAAACTAATTTAGTTTTAAGTGCTAGAAGGATTTAATTTAGGAAGAAAAGGGGATATTTTAAACAAGTGACCAAGCATTGGTTTAATCGCTAAACTACGACACTACGTTCCTCAGGGGGATTTTCCCATCATGCATCTCTTCAATGTGGAAAGTGGAAACTTTCTTTAGGATTTATAAACAGTCCATTTATCGCTGCTGCATCTGTAGAGCAAAATTTATAGTTTTAATCAGAAGTTGTAAACAGGACGTTTATGGTATGTAATACATCATTTATAAAACCCTGTGTTCAGCAATGATATCAGAGGCAGTGATGTGCGTTCACCAAAACTGTAGTTTCTAATGTTCAATGTTTTATGTTTTTCATTAAAAAAAAGCAAAAATCAAGAAGCAATAAAGTTATTTTTTTGTATTCTGGCCTTAAATTTTGATTTTGAAACAAACTGTGGTGGATCTCAGCTCGTTACCTCTTTCTATTTACATCCCATTGTTTTCTATACATTTATAATACAGGTTGTTGTATTTCGGAAATAACTACTTCTTCCATAAAGTTCAGTAAGTAAACGCAAATGAGCTGCCATGAATTCACTGTTTCTGCTGCGTTAAATGGAGACGGGAAGGTCCTGCTGAGCCTCACTGATCTAACAACCTGCTAATGTTTCTTTAGTTTAAACTATAAACGGGAAAAAATAGAGATGTACTTTTTGTATCAAATACGGTAAGAATAAAGGTTTACATGTAAGATGGTTGTAAATGAGATATTTGTGCCCTTTTCTGCATCTTTAGTCGTAAACTTGGAGGTAAGGAGAGTCGGATCCTGGATGTGTGGCTGTTGAGGTCAGGAGAATCCTTCTGCTTTGACCTGGAGGACGTCACAAAGGCCGGCCCGAGTCTGAAGGACCTGAGGGAACATGAAATTAGAGACTAGACATGTTCAATCCATCACTGATAGTTTGGGGTTCCTGAACTTTTCAGCCTGTGACGCCAAAAACACCCTAAAATACACGTAGCTGTTTGACTCTAATTATCATATTGCAATATTAATGTATTCTATTAAATAGCATTTAATGATAAAATGTATATATTTCATTATGTATGCTAACTTATTTATGGAGCAGTAATTATTGCACATTTTATTATTTCATGCTATATCTGTTCTGTTCGATTAGATAAATGTTTTTTTTATATAACATCTAATCATTTAAATCAGGGGTCTTCAACGTTTTCCAGGCCATGGAGCCCAAACTGATGGCGAGATGGAGCGAGGACCCCTAATTATATATATTGTATTAAATAGTGTTATATCAAACTGGTCCTATAGTCACTCTATTACAGATGGAGTAATGTAACTAAAGTAATCCCTCCCTGGGATTATTAAAGTATTTCTTATTCCTGGTTGATGGGACAGGTGTTGTGAATGAAACGGTGTCCAGCTAGAAAAAGCTCCTGTGTGTCGCTGAATGACATCTTCTGCCTCCATTTATCTGTTTACTACTGTGTGTTGAATTCATGTTAATGTGGATTTAGACATTTCGAATAGTGGAAAAAATTAAATAAAAAATAAAAAAAGTCTAATCAACCAAAACTTTTGCGACCCCCATGCAGTACCTCTGTGGACTCCCTAGGAGGTTGCGGACCCCCTGTTGAAGACCTCCGATTTAAACTATGATTAATTTATGGGGACATTCAAATATTTAATTTCATATTTTATATGGCACATTTAATATTCACAATATGTGCTTGATAAATAAATTTTCAAAATAACAATTATTTAATTTATAATCCAAAACATATTTTAATTAACTAATAGAAAATGTATTTAATTGTTCCTTTTTCTCTGGAGACTAAATATTGTTTTCTTTGGAGAAAAGCTCACCTTCAGAGTGCTGAGAATTTCTCCAAACAGGTGTTTCGCTTCCTGAGTATCCGGCTCCTCAAAGTAATCTGACACTGAGATGTCCACCACGATGGACCTGATGTTACTGCAAACACCTGTGGAGGAGGACAGAAGGTCAGGAGGACAGAAGGTCAGGAGGACAGAAGGTCAAGAGGACGGGAGGTCAGGAGGAAAGAAGGTCAAGAGAACATAATGTAAGGAGGACGAAAGGTGAACCTCTGTGATGCGATAAATAATGCTGAAAGCAGGAAATGGCAGAAAAGGAATCCTACTGTGGAAGTGGAGGATGGCCTGGCCGCTGACCGGTGTGTGGGTCAGAATCAGCATCTGTAGATTCTTCAGTCCAGCCTTACAGAGCTCTGTCGCCACCTGCAGGCTCAGGTCAGTAATGCGCTCCAGCTCCAGCACCTGCAGGCGAGGGCAGCTGCCCACTTCACAGCAATACCAGGAACACACAAGAATATTTTTAATCCTGCTCCAAATATTCTGTTTCTATATTTGACATTAATATTCAGTTTTATTATCACACATGATACATTTAATAAACCGTTAATATTTACATGATCTATGGAAGAGCTGGAAAAATGGCCTCTGACTTACCAACAGTAACCAATCCCTGAGTGCTGCAGCCAGCCCCGCCCACACTGAGGGAACGCAGATGTGGCCAACATCTGCCGATCGTTTGCAGGCAGCGGTTTCCGAAACGAGTCGGCTGTTGGCTAAAACCGAAAGATAACGGTCAGAGGATTTCATTTAAACACGTCGATTTAACAAGGCAGCAATCATCACTGTAAATAAATCATTTTATTTTAAAGGAATCAAACAGAAAGCCACCTGGGGTGCGCCGGAGCAACATGGAGTCTGCTGATGCTCCTGCATCCAGCCCCCAGAGCCCACAGGACCTCCTGACCAACCGGATCTGAGGAACTCCTGCCGGCAGAGGAAGCAGTTAAACGCTGGGACTGAGCAGCAGGCAGGTGGACAGTGGCAGAGCCTCACCTGTATGTGAGCGATTGCAGGTGCCTGCAGTAGCAGCTGGCCATCCACAGCGTCCTGTCGCTGAGCATGTGAGGACACTGGGAGATGGAGAGGTGAAGCAGGCTGCCCCCCGCTGAGCGCAGCAGCGCCTCCACGCCGGGCTCCACGCTGCTTCTGAAAGAGACCACCTGACCTCATCACTCCTGATCCTCACACATGCGGTTCCTTCAGTCAAACCTTCAGATTACAGCTGGACTCCTATTAGAACTACACACTGCAAAAAAAGGCAATTTGTCTTCAAATAAGTGCATTTTTTCTTCAATTGAGCCAATGGAAGTGTCAGGAATTCCAGTTTGTGTGGTCTGTTTTTGTGTTTCCTTTCCTCCTCCACCAGGTGGTGCCCCGTCCTCATTGGGTCTCCCTGCACACCTGCAGCTCATTGCCTCATTACCTGTGGAGTGTTCTTAAGCTGCTGACTGCCACTAACTCGACGCCAGAGTGTTTGCCAGTTTGGGGTACTCTAGCCATGCTTAGTTTAGCAGAGTCTAACCTGAGTTTTTGTTTTGCCAGTTTTGGGTTCTCTAGCCAAGCTGAGTTTTGTTGAGTTAAACTGAGTTTTTGTCAACCAGAGCTTTAACTTTGTCTTTCTCTTTGCCTCTCGGCAGGAAGTCATCCTGCAAACTGGATTTTTTTGGACCTTCTCTCTCTGGAAGGATCAACTGAGCTTCTAACTGAGCTGCGGTTCCAAACAGGAGGTTTGGATCCACTTTCCCCAAGAGGTCGTTTGAGCTTCACACTGAGCAAAGGTTTCATCTGCACCACAGCCCGTTCAAGTACCGCAGGAAATCTGAGTGGCAGTCAGCTTCTCCGTTCACGTAGGATCAACCGCAGTCTGAGTAACACCAAACGTGACAATCACTGGAACGTTCCACACAGACTAAATTCTATAAAGGACACCTTTTTTTCTGGAGAAGTGAGTCTGCAACCGATTCCTCCAATTCAAGCCTAAGAATCTAATTTCCCACTGAGCCTGAACTAACTGCAGTGTGTTCCCCTCACCTTCCAGTTGTGGTTTGACAGTGTTCTGATCAGCACTGGATTCATCGCCATATTCTTAATAAACCTGTTAAACTTTTCCCTGGTCTCTCTGTTTGGTCTTCTGCATTTTGGGTCAGACCTTTAATTAAATCATGACAGGAATAAAACAATTTACATTTAAAATAATAAAGCAATTTTGAAGTCTGTTCTTTCAAATGCATAATATCAAGTTATCTTATTTTAAAAGAGTAAAAAATTATCTTTTCATTGGCAGATCCTCTGATTTTTTTTAACTCAAATTAAGAGTAAATACATTTATTTTGTGATTTTTACTCATTTTCAGAATGTTTTTGCAGCGTATGCTGTTTCCATGGCAACGTGCATATTTTTCTGCTTAATATAAGATAATATCTCAACATTTTCTCTGAGCTTTTCAGATTTTTAATCCCTCTGAGCTGCCTGGCTGTGTGTGCTGGCGTTACTAGCCTTGTGAGGACCCTCCGCTGATGTTCTTATCATGTTCTTAAAGGGACAGAAATCCTCCTGTATATTTAAGTTCATTTTCACAGGACCTGCCCGTATAAGTCCAGTAGAAGCTAAGGGTCATGTACGTTGGGTGCGTGTGTGAGAGAGATACCGTGTGTTTCTGTGGTAATCCTCCCGCGTCTCGTCGGCCCGCCGGCTCCGAGGCTTCAGGTTGTGGAGGACGACAGACTGGGTCTGAGTGCACCACTGAGACAGAGTCTGCAGGAACTACACAAACATTAAAAATGGACTGTTAATTCAGATATGGATGCAAACAAATGTTACTGGACATTACAAGGAAATGCTCTTCCTTTATGCTGCAGACTCCTTATAGTCCTAAAATTCAGTCTCCAGCTAAATTCTAGAAACATCCTGTTGAAGGCGGCAGAGCTAAAAGCAGATCATTCTGTCTGCCAATAAATAACTCAAATATAAATGTCTTTATTCTTATTTAAAAAGTTTGTAACCAAAGTTAACACTGACCCATTTCTGCAGCTCTCTCTACAATATTTCATGTTTCTAAACTGGTGTAAATTAACTCATATTTCAAACACTCTTCATTTCATGCTGGTATATTTTCAGGTATTGACCAGTTCTCCAAACGTCCGCCTCACTGGAACTCAGCACCTTTTTCTATGTTTGCTGTTTCAGCAACAGTCAAGGTTTCTATCAACAGCTTTCTTCTAATCGCTGTAACATAGAAACAGGATCAGTAATCTGCAGGATTAAAAACCCTTTTGATAGATTTATGGCACAGCTCTGCTGTTTAAGCATTAAAACAACATAGTTATACATCTTTATTGACTTTAGTACCTAAGCAGCTTATAAGCTTCTAAAATATTTTATTCATCGTTGAACAAAATTGGGACCAAATTTATTACTGAAATGAAGGGCCTAAATAAATATAAAAGTTTACTTAGCACTTTTTTTACTCAAGTAAAAGATGAAAGCAGTAAGAATAAAAAGTAATGGGTAAAATGGTTTCTCAAGTACTTAGTAATTGTTTGTTAAAAACTAAAGATTTATAGTTTAAAATAAAAAAATCAGATGCAAATTCTGGTATTTCAAATTATAAATAAAAACATTACAATGCAAATAAATAATATTATTACAACAGAAAAATTCAGAGAGAGAGAATCTGATCATATTCTCAACATTAATTTCTAGAAATGATTGTTCACAGCAGGTAATGAATATATATTAGGAAAAGTGTAAAGACATTTTGGAAATCTACAGGTTTCTATATAACTTGATATCAAACTATCAAAGTCACTGATGGTGGGTAGAGTAACATCAGCTGAGCAGTCAGGCTGACCTGCAGGGGGCGATAGTGAGTCTGGTAAAGCTTAATGCTCTCCAGTCTAATGCTACTTTCAGACCGCAATCCGCAGAAGCAGCAAAAAATGTGCGGTCTGCTTCATTTTTGATGCTGTACAAGTTTAGTTCTGACGCACGGCTGAAGCATCTTTGCTGCTCTGGCTGCGTGGTGGAAAATTGGGTCTGATGCATGTTGGGCGGAGCTACCCTATCCTTTCTTTGCCTGTAATAATGGCTGATGAAATCAAAAGAGTCGATTTGCTTATTTTAATGAACAAGGCTACATTTCAGACTGCAAGCATTGGAAGCAGCAAAAAAGCTTCTGCTGCTTCATTTTTTATGCTTGTCCACATTGAGTCGAAGTGTGTCCAGGTCAGAGATGGGCAATGTGGAGTCAACAAGTCATCTCCATGTCATGTATTTCTTCTACCCAGCCACTGAAGCAGGTGAGTCCAATCTTCACCGTGAATTAACCTGTGCAGATTGGACTCACCTGGTTAATTGGCTGGGTAGATTAAATACATGACATGGAGATGACTTGTTGACTCCACATTTCCCATCTCTGGTCCAGGTGCGTCTGATGCTTCTGCTGCTCCTGAGTTCAATGGCAGAGAAACGCTTTGCTATATTTACTATTTTAAGTGGGTAAAAATTAGTTATAATATGTTTCTAAGTAAGAAAGTCCACCTGAAAACTTCATCAGTTCATCACGATTACCATCCTTCCTTCAAATATTATTTTGTTGTCACTGGGAATCCCATGCAACAGCAGCTTTTGGCCCAGTCGCCTCTTGGGGGTTTCCACTACTGTTCGCAGCGGCTGGAAAGCATTTTTCATGCACGTACTCCAAACTGCAGGCACCAGAATAATTAAATCGAACATATTTTGCCCGCAGGTTTCTACATTTTAAGTTAATTTAGGCGTTAACAAACTGTTTCAGAAGAGTGATCATAGCGCTCTGCATCAGTAGTGCTGTGTCCGTCTCCCTGCCAGCTCCCAGATCAGCTCCTCTGATTGGTTGATGTGGCGCGTTGAGCAGCAAAAGTTCAATTTTTCCATCTCCATTGGGCCAACCAACATTAGGCGCTGCTCAAAACGCACTGGAGGACCTTTTGCTGCGTCTTGATGCACGTCAACCATTGACTTTGCATGTAAGCTAGCTGCTTCTGCTGCCTGTAGCCCGTGCGGTCTGAACGTAGCATAGCACAGACCAGACCAATCACAGTGCAGCGGTGGCCCCTAATGCAACAGCGCTTCTCTAAAACCATAACAGTCAAGGCTGCTGATGGAATGGAGCCATGTTCTAATGATGTCCTCTATTATCTCCCAAAAGAGCTGTTTATGTTTTACATTTCATCAACTGGCTGCTGTAAGAGCTACTCCTTTTTTTTTTAAAGTAAATTTTTATGTCACGTCATTAGTTAACCGATTGGTCCTAAACTGTTTTCACTGACTCTATATGTCTCGCCTTGGAGTCCGTCTCCTTTTAAGACTAATATATGATGTAAGTGTTACTCATATGAGAGTAGCCATACTTCCAGAAGAGTATTACATAAGGTAGAAAGTATAGTAAAGTATAGATACCTTTAAGAGTTAATTACTGTTCTAAGCGTTACTCAAGTAAATGTGAGTAAATACTGCTTACTAACCACCTCTGATGGTATCTGAGTAACTAGCAAACAGATGGTAATATTCTGCAGCTCTGGTGAGCTTTATATTAGAAATAAGATTGAGGAGGTCTTAGGTTAACGATAATAATCAGAGATGGCTTTAAAAGGTCGATGATGTACCTCAGTCGACACTCGAGCGTTTTCCAGTCGAAGGTGTGTCCAAACCGCCGGGTGCCTGGCAACAAACCGCCAATCACGGCACACCTCGGCAACGCGCAGCAACGAGCGCACGTCCAAATATGGGAAGACGCAGAACAGCCCCGCCCTCATCTTTAGGGTGTCCGCCTCTGTCTGCCTCTTGGCATGATGGCGGGAGGGGGTGGAGCCAATGGAGTAGGGCGTGTCTACTGGGTCGGGGGAACAGGAAGAGGAAGGAGCGTAAATAAAAGGTGTTAAAACTCTAACAATCAATGAGAGGAGGAGGTGCTTACCTGTTCCAGGTGTGTGCTTTCTGGCAAATATGTGGTGCGTCATCTCAGGACTGCTCCACAGGCCTTCCTCCTCCTCTTCCTCTTCCTCATCCTCTTCCTCAGTGCTGTGGTGTCGAATGTTTCTTCTGCTCCAGGTTCTCCCCCATCCTTCATCTCCAACCCTGATGAATCATCAAGCTTTTTTCAGGCATTTATCATGTAATTCCATTTAATATTATAGCCTTATTAAACCAGAAGAAATCCTGAGATTTAAAACCTTAATAACAAGGAATTATTGGATAAAAACAAGATAAAGATAAAAAAGTAAAAAGCTACAACAGCCTGGCAGAGGTAGATTTCACATCCCTTACCCAACCCTTTGCCTTGAACCATGAGTTTATTCCATGTTTGCATTAAGTGATAACTGATCAATATAAGAGCTTTCTATAAATGTTAGAAATACGACAAACTCTAAGAAGACCTTTCCTCTACCTCTTACCTCTATGCCTAATTATTTTCTGACTGCTTCTGGGCTGAACTAAAAGTCCTGATTCAGCTTTCTTCAGTAGAAATCTCAAGGATTTCAGTGAGAACCGCTGGGTTTTTAAAGCTTTATTCCCAGTTCCAGCAGAAAAAAAAAGAAATCCCACAACAAAAAACCATCACATTTCCACCATGGGTCTGATCTTTTGGTTGTTTCTTTGCAAAGCTCTTCTCTTTGAAAGTTTGGCTAAATCTGTGAAGGCGCGTAATGAACTAAACCCTTTAAAGCCCTGAATCATTAAATATTTTCATAATTTTCATTAAATTAGAATTGTTGTTGTCAGAAAAGTTAGATTTCTCTTATTTCGTATTTCTATTTATGCTATTTACTCACTGAAAAAAAATTTTCATTCAGTCTCTTCCGCCTGCAAGGGCACACATTGGCATCAATAGAAGACATACTTATTCTCATAACAAGCCAAATTCTTTCTCAATGTTTGTTATCGTTTAACCAAAGTGTGTGTAATTTGTTTTGACTCTGACACAACCTTCACAGCTTTTTCATCATTATAAGTAAGGGAGACAAACTCTGTCTAGACCAGAACAGGGCTGATTACCAAACAATAACGGCCATATGATGAACTGTTCTCTCTTTGCAAAGATTAAATAAAATAACAACTGAGCAAAATCCATCGAACTCTGTTTATTTAACTGGAGAAAATAGTTGAATACTTTTCCTCACGACAATTGTCATTGAACATTCTAAAAAAAAAAGAAAAAATGAAAGAAATCTGGCTATTAACAGGGTTTAAATGTTTCTAGAGGTTCATTGTGTGAATAATCACAGGTTAAAAGTGAAAAATAAAGACCTGTTGCATCAAATGGAATTCTTTTTAAAGATCTCCTTATCTTTAACATACCTAAAATATGAATGTATGTTTTATTTTGTTTTTATTGTTACATTATGAGTCCCTGAAGAAGCAGTCGCCTTCTGCTGATTTTGTCCTGCATGCTGGCGTAGAAACAGCCATAAAGTTAAACCAATGAATACATTTTTTGGTTTCAAACATACGAGGGCAGAAACTAACAATCATTTTGCAAATCAATTAATCTGTCAATTATTTTTTTGATTAATAATTGGATAGAAGACTTTAAACCAAGTGAAACTAAAACTTTTCCACCTGAAGAGTTGGAGAATGGAGCATATTGACAGACGAAAACTTAAATGCAAAATGTTTCTATATTTTTTATACAATTTTGGTATAATTACTGCTCTATGTGGGTCACTGTGTCAGCTAAAGTCAAGTTTTAAGGCAAGGCAAGGCAAGGCGAATTTATTTGTATAGCACAATTCAGTACAAACACAATGCAAAGTGCTTTACATGATTAAAATACAAGAAGATAAAACAAAATCAAAGCAAGTAGGAAAAATAAAAAATTAATAAAATAAAAAAAATGCAGGGACAAAAAAAGAATATTAAAAATTCTTCTTTTAAGTCTCTCTACTCCAGTTAACGATGAATTGATTACTAAATTAGTTGACGATTTTTACTATAATGGATTAATCTAATTAATCGTCTCCTCCCTAAAACAGACCTCTAACTTTTTATATCAATCACTGGTTTCTGGATAAACTGTTAAAAGACTGGATTCCATCAACATCTTCCACAATAAAGGTTTTTAATAAATAAAGGTCTGATTTATGAAATTCCCTGCAGTGTTGAATTATCAGTCTGAAATTTACCATTTTGTCTAGTTTCTTTTAAATAACAACTTTTAAAAGATTTTAAGGAGTTTAAATCCATTAGGATAGTGTTTATTAAAAAGCAACTGAAGATGCTGCTATTCAAGCAGGATTTTAATTATTCGTATGGTTTTTATAGGTTTGTTTATATCTTTCCATTTTTTTTATGTTGTTATATATTGCATCCTACATTGTTCTATTGTTACATTTTTACTCCGGACTACTTTGTGATTTTTATCTTTGAAAAGTGCTATACGAATACATTTACTTTACTTAAATTTGACTTGTAATGGTCGTTTGTTGATAAGATTTTTCTTTCTTTTACTTTTTATTTCCCTTCCCTTTTAATCCACATACCAGACTCTCTCCCTCCGTCTAAATCCCTCTCTTTCCCGTGGAGTCCAGTGTGCGGCGTAATGAGATGGCTGGAAGTGGAGCAGTCCCCCCTCACAGTCCCAGCCCCCCGAGCCCAGAGATAAGGTCCTCATTTCCTCATTCAGACCACTGAAACAGACAAGAGGAGTGATGAAAAACCTCAAAAGCTGAAGCAATAACTGCGTCTGTAACGCCTTGCTTTAAATATTCCTTCCAGCTAGCTGATGCTTTCAAAGTCTGTAGGAACTTTATGTTTCAAAGAAATTTAGGAAACAAACAGTCTTTGTGACCAAAGGACAATTTAATGAACCTGTAGTGATGGTGTCCGTGTGTTTGCTCTCCCAGTCTGTAGGAACTTGAGACACTGTAGCTTCTCTAAATAAATAAACAGATGGCAAACAAAGGTATAAAATAGATTTTCTCTTTTTGTTCAATCCTTATATGACCAGATGCTGGTTGGTTCCTTACCCTGTTTCCAATGCTGTCCTGCATCTTGTTGGGGATGATGTCATCGGCGCTGCCGTCCAGGCTCCGCCCAGCTCGTCCAGGTACAGGTGAGTACACCTCAGAGGGTGAATACGGCTCGGCGTATTCAAACCTGTCATTGTTTGTGAAGTGGTTGTGGCTGAGCAGCAGTAACTGCCTCTCTGCTCGGTCGGCTCGATCCAACAACGTCTCGATGAAAACCTACAATAAAGAAAATGGCCGCTGACACTGAGCCTGGTTCTGCTGGAGGTTTCTTCCTGTTAAAAGGGAGTTGTTCCTCTCCACTGTCGCTACAAGCACGCTTAGTGTGAGTGCCTTGAGATGACCTGTGTTGTGAATTGGCGCTATCTAAATAAAATCAATTGAAATGAATTAGTTGGTCTTTACCACAGTATTTGGGCCATTTTCAATTAAGGGAAAAATATTTCCTTAGTAAATGTCTGCCTAAAAAGTTACACATTTATAGATTAATTTCAAATTTTTACAGGAATAAAACTATGGATATTCTCTGATGCAAAAATGTTTTGAAGTTAATACAAAAAAATTTAAGATTTTATTTTTTCTAGGTTGGAATTGAATAAATTGATGCAATTAATCGTGGAAAATTCATCAGGTTTTAATTTTGAAGAATTTTAGCTTTTCAACATCAGTTAATATCCAAAATGTGTCTTTTGAAAATAGGAAATTTATGTAAAAAAAAAAAAATTATTTCTTTCATGGCAGCATTTATTTTTTCTTTCTTTCTTTCTTTTTTAAGCTACTATAATTTTTAAGCTAGATTTAGATGAAGCAGAAGCATGTACTTTTAAATTGTAACCATATTTTCAGACAAATGCCGACTGCACTTATTCAACATTAACTCATAGTCTTTATTTTCTATTTTAGTTTATTTAATAAGACCTATAAATTCTGTAGAAGGTTATAATAAAAACATAAACATAATCTTTTTCTGCTTTCAAAATTTTTTTACTTTAACTGTAGAAACAGCCTTTTGGTTAAAAAACAAAAAAACTCAGTCTTTAATACCAGGATATGATGTCTGTTCCATGTAGTTTATGTATTGAATTCAAGATTTTAAAAAATTTACAAACAGGAAAGCGGTAAACATAAAGTTATCTTTTGAAAAATAAGAGTAATCTTAAACAACTTGATAATAGCTAATATTGCCTTGCGATGGACTGGCTAACATTCATTAATATTAATTTTCCCAAACTGCTGATAAAGAAAATAACTTAAAAAATATACAGAGAAATTATTTTAATGTATTTATTTTCTTTTCAAAGTATGAGAATGTAAATATTCATTAGAACAGAACTTTTTCACTTAGTAAGACTTTTTTTTAATGGTTTTTAAATAAATAATACTAAATTGTTGATGATTGACAAACATTATTCTATTTACCTAAACATCAATTATCCTTACAAAGCATTAGAAATTTAAAATTAAAACCCTAAAATGAAAAGAGAAAACATTGAAATATAAAAGGTAACTCAGAAAATCGTAATTGTTTTGATAGTCTACTTTAACTTTTTCAGCAAGCTTATTAGCATATTATTTAAATATTAGGGTTCAAGTTAATATTCAGTTAGCAAACTTAATATTATATAATATTAAGTTTGTTATTATTAATATTAAGCCGATATAATCAATTATGTATTTATTAAATAAATTGCTTCTATTTTTAATAAATTAACACAATTGTTAAATGTTATTTATTTATTGAAATGTGGCACTCCTAACCTNTGTCATTGTTTGTGAAGTGGTTGTGGCTGAGCAGCAGTAACTGCCTCTCTGCTCGGTCGGCTCGATCCAACAACGTCTCGATGAAAACCTACAATAAAGAAAATGGCCGCTGACACTGAGCCTGGTTCTGCTGGAGGTTTCTTCCTGTTTAAAGGGAGTTTTTCCTCTCCACTGTCACTACAAGCACGCTTAGTTTGAGTGCCTTGAGATGACGTGTTGTGAATTGGCGCTATCTAAATAAACTCAATTGAAATTAATTAGTTGGTCCTTATCACAGTATTTGGGCCATTTTGAATTAAGGGAAAAATATTTCCTTAGTAAATGTCTGCCTAAAAAGTTACACATTTATAGATTAATTTCAAATTTTTACAGGAATGAAACTATGGATATTCTCTGATGGGAAAATGTTTTGAAGTTAATACAAAAAAATTTAAGATTTTTTTTAAATCTATGTTTGAGTTGAATAAATTGATGCGATTAATTGTGGAAAATTATCAGGTTTTAATTTTGAAGAATTTTAGCTTTTCAACATCAGTTGAAAAGCTAAAACAGGAAATTTATGTAAAAAAAATTTATTTGGGTGAAATTGCTTCACCAGGGCAGCATTTATTTTTTTTCTTTCTTTTTTTTTTTTTTAAAGCTCCTATAATTTTTAAGGTAGATTAAAAAATTCTAAAATGAAGCAGAATTTGAAGAGCATGTACTTTAAATTGTAACCATATTTTCAGACAAATGCTGACTGCACTTATTCAACATTAACTCATAGTCTTTATTTTCTATTGTAGTTTATTTAATAAGACCTATAAATTCTGTAGAAGGTTATAATAAAAACATAAACATAATCTTTTTCTGCTTTCAAAATTTTTTTACTTTAACTGTAGAAACAGCCTTTTGGTTAAAAAACAAAAAAACTCAGTCTTTAATACCAGGATATGATGTCTGTTCCATGTAGTTTATGTATTGAATTCAAGATTTTAAAAAATTTACAAACAGGAAAGCGGTAAACATAAAGTTATCTTTTGAAAAATAAGAGTAATCTTAAACAACTTGATAATAGCTAATATTGCCTTGCGATGGACTGGCTAACATTCATTAATATTAATTTTCCCAAACTGCTGATAAAGAAAATAACTTAAAAAATATACAGAGAAATTATTTTAATGTATTTATTTTCTTTTCAAAGTATGAGAATGTAAATATTCATTAGAACAGAACTTTTTCACTTAGTAAGACTTTTTTTTAATGGTTTTTAAATAAATAATACTAAATTGTTGATGATTGACAAACATTATTCTATTTACCTAAACATCAATTATCCTTACAAAGCATTAGAAATTTAAAATTAAAACCCTAAAATGAAAAGAGAAAACATTGAAATATAAAAGGTAACTCAGAAAATCGTAATTGTTTTGATAGTCTACTTTAACTTTTTCAGCAAGCTTATTAGCATATTATTTAAATATTAGGGTTCAAGTTAATATTCAGTTAGCAAACTTAATATTATATAATATTAAGTTTGTTATTATTAATATTAAGCCGATATAATCAATTATGTATTTATTAAATAAATTGCTTCTATTTTTAATAAATTAACACAATTGTTAAATGTTATTTATTTATTGAAATGTGGCACTCCTAACCTTCCATATTAACAACCTGTTCTGTTGTTCTCCTATCAGTGATGTCTGAACGTCACATCAATCCTGCTGTGAATGAAGCTGAGGAGGAGCTCAGAGCCCTAATCTAATCAGTATCCAGGAGTTGATCTGATCTAATCCAATGTAATCTACTCTAATCTAATCTGAACATGGCCGTCACCTGCAGCCTGGATTTGGCCTCTGCTTCCTTCTCTGCCGTTTGCCGCAGGAAAAGCTCGATGTCGACCATCTCCCTGTAAAAACAGTAAGAGATTAGTGAAACAGACGCCCTGATGTGTTCATTTAACACACAGAGGTAACTGGAGTCACTGCTCTGACCTCACAAGCAGCCCCCCACCCTCAGGGCTGCTGGGCCCCCTGTCATCCTGCATCTATCTGAACAGCAGACCGAGTGTCACGCTGAGGTAAAGCCAACATGACGTGTCCTCTATCTAGAAACCAGGTCTCTCTGCTCACTGCTTTGACTTCCTGGTGGTATTTACTGATCTCTGGTCCAGATGCTGAGAGCAAAGTGCTATTTAACTGACCTTTAAAGCTGCGCTGCTCTCTGTGTTTTTATTAAATACAGGCTGCTTCATTTAGACACACTGCATTTAGACACACTTCAACCCTGAAGCTGCTTATTTTTAGCTTGTGTTGTTTACATTTGGTCTGGTGTCTGGAAAAGCTGCAGATTGAGACGTCAGCAGCTTGGAGACACTTGGATGGTAAAATAAAACACATTCCCCCAATAAACCTCTTAAAGTCGTAGTGAAGCGTCTGTTCCAAATGTTTAATTTCTGAATTCTCCCGAGTGGTGCCCGACTTTACACTGAATAAAGTGAATGTGATTGGTTGTTTATCAAGGGGGTGGGATTGTTGTGGCGGGAGGTTCGCAAGCAAGTTTGGTTGTGGCCGGTTCGTCGGAAGCATCTCGCTAACCAGTTAGCAACTTAGTGCTAGTAGGTTCCCAATGGGAAATTCCATTGGGACCAAGTAGCACTAAATTGGTGACTTAGAAACGACACTGTCAAGGAACGCTATGGACAGAGGAAACATGCAAGAGGAGGAGAGTTTAGTGTTGAAGGTCGTGGATGAGTCTCCTCCATCATCCATTTTTTATTTAGAGGAGGAAAGCGGGATGAAGATGTTGTGGAAGAGGACGCCAGGGCGGCAGAAGCTTGGTTTGGTGTAGAAGGCTTCCAGCCGTACATGTTTGAGCCCTTGCCTCACAACGCTGCCAGTTCTGTTAGCTCTACGCCTGCTGAAGACACAGACGTCCATCCCCATGATCACTGGGACGGAACTACATTAGCTGCGACATATGAATCAAGATGCTATGACCGAAAAAAATTTGATTGACAGATGACCGTTGATATATGATTGGCCGAATTTAGGTGAACAAGCTAACATGAAACTAACTGGTCCGCATAAGGTAACAAAAAGCCCCCCACAGATTTTAAATAGAAAGTATCAAAAATTTTATGACCATATCGTCTGATACAGAGTAGATTTATATACATGTTCAAGCCAGAATTAATTGACATCTAAATATGGCTTCCCTACGACTTTAAAGGCACTGACTGTTGTCGCTCGCTCAGCTCCGTCTCTTTTTCTGAAAGGTTTCTCTTTAGTCGCTCCATCATCTCCACGGCAGCGGACACCTGAAGGAAACAGAAAAGCTTCAGAAACAATTGGATCTTTGTAAATAAAATCACATCATGTGTTTAATAAGAGGCTTAGAATTAGTCCCACCTGTCTGGACAGGTACGCCGCCCTCTCCTCCACCTCCTTCTTCTCTCTCTTCAGCCGCTCCCTATCACGCCTTTTTCGCTGAAGCTCCGCCTCCCTCTTCTGTAGCTCCGCCTTCAGTCGTCCAACGCGCCGGTTCACCCTCTCCTCCACCTCTGCGAAGGTGCGAGCGATTTTATGGTCCAGTCCCAGTCCCAGCCGCTCCTCTAGCCCGATATCCACCGACAGGCTGAAGTCCAGGCCCAGGACCCCCACATCGCCGAGGTTCTTCCCAGGAAGCAGGTCCAGAGACCCAGGTAGGGCCAGCGCGGTGGAGGGGACCTCTGCCTGGCCAGGAGGGGGCGGCAGAGCGCGGTCCGGCGGGCTGAACATCTCCCTGAGCAGCTGGATGGAGGCCGAAGATGAGGCGAGGTCCAAGCAGGCCAGCGGTGGAGGGAAGCTGTGGGTGTCCATGTTCAGAGAGGACGTCCCGCTGTGGGACACATCCGGTCCAGGAAGAGGGAGGAGAGCAGCGGGTCTAGAACTTCTGACCCGACCCTGAAACAGGAGAGCAGATGAGGTCACCCAGGCTGAACTGGTTAAAGAAGTGTTTAAAATGTGGTTTAGAGATGATTAAATGTCCGTTAAACCTGTTAAACAAAGAAACCAAAGACCAAACAAAGAAGCGGGAGGAGAAGAAACCGGTTCTCCAGATCGAACCTGTTAAACACGTTTATATAATTACCAGCAGTTTGACGGTGAGGTCTGCTGCACTAATTTACTTTCTATTGATTGGGCCGGATCCAGTCTGGATCTCAGTGCTCTGTCACGTCACATCTTGCTGTTTAGAGACGCAGCAGGAGGGAGAGGAGCACTTTAATACTGTTTCTGATTTTAAAATGAGCTCAAAAAATGACTTATTTATTTAATAGTTCATTTAACTTCCTAATAGATGATCTCCAGGCTTATTTTAATAATAATAATTGAGCTTTTGATCTAAACACGTAGGTTTGATTTCAACTTTGGTGGGGACACTATTCTCCAGTTTCATTTGCACTAATGTCATTGTTCCTTTCCAAAAATATGCATGCTCTTTTTATGCTTAATGTGAGCATCAGGGCTCATTTTGTTTAAAGAGAACAGCAGCATTTCTTGCTACATTAAAACAAATCTTATGAACACTACACGCACTAGATGCTGTTTATCAATGTTTGAAGCATCACTGGCTCTGATGAATGTGGAATTAGGACTTTTTCCACTTTGAAAAGGTTTGCATTTAAACTTACCAGTGCCTATTTAACCAAATATAGTCCAAATATGCCTGTTATATGTGGATTTATCCTGTGTTTTCTTCTGAAGATATAGAATTGTTCAGAGGTAAAACCCACTATTATTTTTTTTAATGTAATATGCTGTTGGAATAATTTTGTATAAGATAGTTAATGTTTGTTCTTATGATGTATAATGTGTGACATATTACTGTTCCAGAGAGGTGTTGCACAAGCAGTATAGGTCAACTCTCAGGAAGTATTGCTCAAGCTTAACGAAACCAGGAAGTTCTCGGACCATTTGACCGCAAGACATTTAAAAGCAAATTGACCTGCTCACTGAGGCCCCGTCCACACGAAGTCAAAACGAAAACGAAACGCTAATATTTTCCAGAACGTTTGCCGTAAAGACGGAGACGTAAAATAAATGTGATCGTCCACACGAATGCATGAAAACGCTGCAAAATGTATGCCAGGCCTGTAAGTGGCGCTGTGGTGCCAAAGCAAAAATAGGCGACGAAATGTTAGGCATGCGCACTAATATTTATACATGGTTGCCCTGCGGGTCCATTTTCGTGGTTCAGTCAAATTCAGGTGCTAAACTATGTGGTCGATATTGCTCTGTTCTTCCTGGAGATATTCCAGAAGAAGAAGATTCTGTTGTAAGCCCGACAGCAGGGTGAGTAGCATGAGCAGCAACCATTCAACACAGTACGGCGCCATTGTTGTTGTGATACTGTGTCGCGCATGCGTGTTTAGAGGCGACGCTATGATGCATGTGTGTAAGAAAAAAAATGCGGTTAGAGCTTAAAGATGGAAACGCAAAAACGGCGTTTCAGAATCTTCCCACTCTGAAGGCTTAATAAAAAAAAAGATCGTTTACAGACCCCCGAAACGCTGGCTTCGTGTGGATGAGAGGCTGGTTTGGTGAAAAATTTGTGCGTTTAGGCCAGGGTTTGACTTCGTGTGGATGGGGCCTGAGGCTGCACATTGAATTATATTTCTTGTTTCCTATTCCTTTAGCGCAACCTCAGCTTGTGTAACTAGGGACCTCCCCCTCTGACTTTAATAAATAGCGAGGAGAAAGCTGAAGAACGGCAGAGTGGGGGGGAGATTTGTAAACTCCGCAGTCTCTTCCCACTCTCCTCGCGAGTAAAACTAAATTAATTGTCTCTGTGCCTTCTTTCTTTCCCTGTATGTATGTATGATGTTTTAGGTGCTTAGACCTGACATATGCTCTCTCTGGATCATGCAAAATAATACATTCAACGGACGGCAAATAAATGTATTGTATTTACATGAGCACTGGAACTATAAGAGTAACTGACACTGAGCATTTAAAATATTAATATTAGAAGTTGTACATCTGGGCTGTAGTTACTCTGTGTCGCCCATTTCATGTATTTTATTTATGGCTGAAACAATTAATCATATTCACAAATTATTTAAATAATCATCAACTGATTTAGTAATTGATTAATCGTTAACTGGAGTATAGGGCCAATAAAATGTGCCTTTAGCTGACAGAGCGACCCACTTAGAGCAGGAATTATACCAAGATTATAAAAAATATGTAAACATTTTGCATTTAAAATAAAAAAAAGTTTTTGTCAGTCAATATTCATATCAGAACTCCTCCAAAGGAAACGTTTAAACGTTTCCGTTTCACCTGGTTTCATTTCATAAAAGATCTTCTTTAAGGAGCCTTTGGCTATCTGATTAAAAGATAAAATAAAAGAAATCCTAACGTTGTTAACTTACATTTCTCAAGTTTCACAAATCAAAAAACTCTCTCCTGCTTCTTTACAGAACTCCAATCAGAAGCTTCCACCTGTTTTAGTGTAGATAATATTACGTTTTTTAATTTGGACTAGTTTTGTAGCCCAATATTAATTTATTGTAGCTGTTTGAGAACATTTCGCTTCCCATCCAGGAAGGTTTTATACAGCAGCCCGATTATAAGGAGAAAAAACAGATTCTAATGTTGGTCTTTCTGTTGTTCGCTGGGACAGATTTACCACCTCAACCTTTACTGAAATGACTGAGTCTTACATCATGCAGCGGATTTACCTGCGACAGCACCAGCAGGGTCTCGTAGGTGTGCCGGCTGACCAGGTGAGCCCGGAGCTCAGGTACGGATGAGAAGCGGTACTGGTCGCCACAGCGGGGACAGAAGTAGGGCAGCTCCGAGGAAGAGGAGGAAGACATGATTCTCTGAGGAGCGGCAGCAGGAACCCTGGAAGCTGGAGGGAAAGTGGGTCAGCGAGTCTGAGCTTCTACATTATTGATTCTAAAGAGTTGAGGATGAAGCGGAGTGGAGCTGATCTCATTAAGATGAGGATAGTGGAGCTGGATCATCTGAGGTGTGAGGGGGTTTCTGTCGGCTTCATCGCTCACTGGAGGGTCAGCGCGTGCAGAGGAATTTCCTCACGCATGGATGAGCTGGAATAAAGGACCGTCTGGGGCGTGGAGCCGCTGCTCTGCTCCCAACTTCTACCTCTGGATCCTACTTCATCTGATTCCATAATGCTGCTGTTTGTTTAATATCTGCTATAGTTATCATCCTAAACGACTAATTTAATACGATATGTTCCCATATTTGTTTATTTCAGCTGTAAAACAGCTTGGAAATGAAGCTTTATTCTGATTTTTCTGTAGTCGCCTCCTCTCCTTAAAGGCTCTGCAGACCATTCAGTCTGTTTTGGGTCATTTTAACGTTTTCCTTCATCAGAACTTTAACATCATTCAGTTTTGTCCAGTACAGATGCATCATTTATCTAACCTGCTAATGATGAGCATAGCTGGAACTGAAATAATGTGTTTCAGAGCAGTTTGTTTATGGTTTGGATTATCTGCAATCATTTCATTTATGATGTTTAAAAGGGGGAGAAATAGATTCTATGTCATATTCTACCTAATGAGAAGGTCTTAGCTCTAATGCTGGTACATTTAAACCACTGCTAAGTTTTAAACTGATAAAAAAAAATCCCAAACTGCTTTCATGAACTACATACATTCACATGGACACAAATATTGGGGTTGAAGGCCTATCAGATAAAAAATGTGTGTTTGTATAAAGATGTCAGACTCAGGATTCTAATCAGATTTAGTCTGATTGGAAAAAACTGTCATTCTGAAAGAGAGATGGATTTTTATGAACTCTATTCCAATTGGCATCCATGTTCAGACCCATTTGGATCTTTGGGTGTCTGAATGTCCACCCTAATCACTATATAAGGCACTATATAGTGGCTACGCCGTTTTAGATGGTTGTGTGAACGTCTAGATCAGGGGTAACGAACTCAAAATCAGCGGGGTCGGAATAAAGAAAATCAACAACTAGCAAAGGTCCGGTGACATTTTTAACCTCTTAAAACCCACCAGGTCACCGGCAACCTGGTGGACCTTAAGTGGGAGTAATAACTCAAAATGCATAAAATTCCACCGGAATTTTTTTTACCAGCAGATGGAGCCATTGCGCGCAGCTCAAAGCTGACACCAAGAGTTCAAAGCCCCACAGCTCTGGAACTGTTATAGCTAGAGGTCTGACATTTTCTTCATTTGTGGTTGACATGATGTAGAACACATATTATACAATAAAACCTGCTTTTTCTCAAGAATGTCTTTATTACTGCTGTTCAAAAAAGACCTATCATTTCCAAGAATAAAAACAAAACAAACTTTGAGTCATGTTTGAACTGATGCAGGTTGGTCTGTGTTCTACTCACCCAATTTCTTATTTTATATAGGGTGTTAGCGTTCAAATAATGTATTGAGCATGTAATTAGGGCTTACAGTTCCTAAAGTATTTGCTTTTTCATTTAGGGATGCAAAATAGGCGAGAATTTCACTAAATGAGGTGGATGTTATGAGGTTAATCATAATCTGTTACTTTAAAAAGAATTTAACACTGAAATAGAGGTGTTTTTGCATCCATGTTATACAATGACTTTTTCAATAAAAAATATAAAAAATGTATTGTTGATTCTGTTCATGGTGGAGAATCCTGCTTCACAGCAGCAGGTTGAGCCAAACATCCTCTAAATGTTCAGGGTCATCTTTGAGCACCATTTCACTTTTCTTTCACCAGTTCACCACAGTTCTTCCAGCAGTCCACACTTTCTCTCCACTTTCTCTGCTCTCTTTTTCTCATCATCTTCTCCTTCTTTCCAATCACCCGGCTTGCCACAGGTTTGCCTGCTGTTTCTAAAAGTAGCAGCAGCAGCGACCCAGACTGACAGCAGCTCATTGGATAATTCTGTTAATTTGTTAGGCTAGTTAGGAGAAGCAGCGCAAGTGAAGTTAGACACTGCCGTCGGACAACATGTAGAATTTTATAAATGTTTTAAATCAATTTTAAATCCGTGACCTCTGCTCTAGTTGATGAAAAAGTAGTGGACTTCAGATTTTTTTTTTCTATCGATCCGATGTGGTCCGCTCTCAATTTGCTGCAACATATTTATACTAGTATTACATTCAACGGCACATTAAAAGAATAATGGTCGTTAACGGTGACTGTTAGAACAGTGAAAAATACATTTTTTTAATCGATTTTCCGCAAAGAATCAATCTTTAGGAATTAATTTAAGAATCGACTTAAATCGACTTAACTCCTCCCTACAGACCAGAGATGAGTGTGAAAGCAGACTAACAAGGAGGCATCGGGTCTAAATGGGGCCACCATGACGGTGTTTTTAATCAGGCAGTAGCAGGAGCATCCAACAGTGAAGATCCTTAAACCATTTCAGCTCCTGATGGAGTTTAATTTGCAACGGTTTGGCTGGTTTAATTGTGAATTTGCACAACGTGGAGATATTTCCCAGAGATCTGAGGCGAGACGGGCTGTGAGGAAATCTCCTGATTCCACGTGTGGAGATGTTATCAGTCTCTAAAGCAGGGATCAGATCAGATCCACATCCATCACCACCCAAAGCATGTCCAACCTGACTGACTGCATCTAAGGGTCCAACTGGGCCCTTAGTGTTCATCTTTATACTGTCTGTTTATGTCACATAAAACGAAAAAAAAAAATCAGACAAATTACAAATTAAAACTACTGTTAAATGTCATTAAAATAAAATAGACTGAGAATGATAACAGTTCTTTACATTAGAAATAATTATTCTAGTAATTTATAGGAATTTAACCAAAATGAAGCTTAAATAATTGTAGATTGTTCCAGTTGAATAGAACTGATCAGTGATTGATTGATTGATTGAATCAAAGTGACTGTAACTGGATCCCATTCATTGATGCTAAAGTTATAAACTGATCAGCTGTCAGCAGCCTCATACCTCTGATCATCGATCATCCGCTGCGTCACGCCCTCCTCAGCACCGTCTCCATGAAGACCGTTGCCATGGTTTCCTGTTCGGATCCTGTCTGGACCGTCCGGTACCGGCGGCGGCTTTCAGAGCTGCAGGATGGATCGAAGCGGGACCGGATGCACCACCGCCCCGCGCGCCCCGTTTCCAGCCAGCAGCCTCCGCGTGCTGCTGCTGCTGCTGACGTAGGAGCCGCGTGACGTGTCACTGCTGATAAATCACCTTTTTTAAATATACATATAGGTCAAAGGTTACTGCTGCTTTCATTTAAATACTGTTCATGTTTTTACAATTATTGATAATATATTATTGCTGTTATTTTGTTATTTATTTTTATGTTTGTAGCAACTGATAAAAATCCGTTCATAAATTATAATTATTTTTTGAAATATTTTTGCAAAAAAATAATAAATTATTGAGTGATAGTACGGACAGGATTTAGAAATTATTCTAATACATTATATTTTATGTTATTGTTGTTTTGTCGATTTCTAAGACACATTATTTTTCAGTAAAAACCT